ATATTTCCGGGTAAAAGGCAGGCATACCCAGAGTATTAGTACTTTCCTTCCCTTAGATTGTAACGCTCCAAAGAAGCAATAATAGATGGGAAGGCATGGGTCAAGGTTGAGGCGAAAAAGTGGTCAATCATTGAGAAATGAAGTACTGAGGTAGAAGGAGGAGGCAACTGGAAGGACCAGAGGTATGGAAGGCAAAGGGTAAGGTGAGGTTAGTTCTCCTTCCTCCGTCCATCCATCTCAACCTAAACTTAATTTATAATAGTTAGTCGTACTTTCCTACGTACCTTAACCTCCGCACATCCAATGTGTAGGTACTTGCTGTACCTTACAGGGCAGTTAGGTACCTCTCAGCCTGCCACACCCTCCATTACGTCCATAGGATACCTCTACAACACATTGGACACTTTGTTTCTCTGAAAATGCCCATTTTTGACCTTGGAACCAATGCCCAGTCAGGCCGAAACACGGGCAACTAAACTTCCCAGGGTGAGTGATGAGTTGAGGTTAAGTGACAAGTGATCAGTGCTAAGCGAGCCTCTAAGTTAGCACCTCACTCATCCTTGTCTCGGTTGTCTCAACTCTCTCAGCCCCCCTGCCCCTGTACAAACCTCACTTTTCTTCTTCAGCGGGAGGGGAGCAGCATCATTGAGCCTAGACACTGATTGATTGCTGCATGCACTAACTAGACTAGACTATACTGGATTGCCCGTCATTCACTCACCGACAAACTTCATTCGAGGGACTGTACGGGATCCCACCGCCCTCCAAAACCACCGATTCGATACCCTCTGTCTGGCTCTGGGGCAGACCCCACGCCTGTCCGAGTCTAGCTGTGGTGCTACTGCACAGCTACGCTGGAAAGGAACCTCATTTTCCGTGTCCGTATAGAGGTCCTGTACTGTACAGAGAGTAGCCAGTTTGCTTGGTACAGAAGGCGACGCATATCCAAAATGAGGCTCTTGACAATTGGAGCAGGAGAACGAACCATTGAAGCCACTTGCTACCACAATCCGCAATTAGAACTATTTCACGGCAACCTCGTCATGCCAATGGTTGTACGGGCATGCGCATACACGCTCATTCAAGCACATCAAACACTCGTCATGCATTCAGCGGTACTCTCTCGGCTGCCGCAGCCCTCACCAAGGTTCCAGGTACTCACTCCCGGTCGATCGACTCCCGTGCACGGGAGACCAGCGCCCACTCACGATAGCGCAGGTGGTGCAGGTCCCTTGCAAACCTGTGTCTTGCTGTTCACGCCCCTGTTCTTGTTAACTGCGTGTCATCGTCCGTGGCCCTGTAGTATCCATCCATACCTGGTTGCTGTTCCTTGGATGGACCTGACGGCGTTCCCGTCAAACGCGCTTGGATATCTAACTAAATTCTTTAGTCCATTCACTGGTCTGCTATATTCCAGCTCGCCAACTGCGCTAAGAATCGCTGACTTGAGTTCAATCCCTAAGCTCATGAGAGCTTATTCTCTGCCGTATACGAAAATCTTCGTGCCGTGCCTCTATCTGAAGCCCTGGTCTCTCCCTCTATGCTGTCTCCACCCCCGGCGCAGATCAAGAGCATGAACGATCTTCATGGGTATTTTAATATTACTCAACAAAGGTGATGGTTGGCCCACGAGACCTCCTCAGGTCCAAGACATTTAACGGGGGCCTGGAAAGAGGCTTGTCCGCTAATGCATGGTTCCCTCTTGTTCTAGGATCAGAGCTGAGGCGCAACAGGGGTCTAATGCTGATTCCAGCAACTTGGTTGGTCAATCCTCACATCTTTAATGTCTTTTCCAGATTGATAGGGGCGCGGACCTCACGACCCAGTTCTACGGTTCTTAGCTGCCGGTTCTCTCACAAACTAATGACAGCCACAGAGTACAGTCACCAGGTTGATCCAATCTGGGAACCACCCACCCGGTGTCAGTTGACTCGACGAGAACAATATCGATAGTCTCAATGAGGGTCCAGACAGCTCGGGCCAGCATCTCTGCCACCGTGCCCGACACCATCGAACTGTCCTATCGGCCATCAGTTCTCATCTACAGGCAATATCTAGACTCGAGAGGGCCGAGGCCCACTAACGTCACAGTTAGACAGTAACAACACAGACGTTTGAGTGACAGCGGGATGCACTCTGCCAAAGGTCATGAAAAGCAAACAAGGCAATGGCACCTTTCAAAGAAGGCTAGGGCCTAGTCCATGGGATGACTTAGAGAACCCTACAGATGGCATGCAATGGATGCCGACACTCTTACTCGGCATGACTCGTGCCGGGCCTGGCATTGTAGCGATGCAGATGAACGAACAATCAACCAACAGAGTGCAACGCTGTTATGGGCTCCAGGATCACGAAATTCTTAGATGACATGCGGATAGCAGACCCATCACATACTTTCCAATCACTACGGCCTGATAAAGAATTGTTTGTGGGTCTGCCTCAGCTCCCTCGCTCAACTACAGCTTCAGAACCCACGAGGATCAGGCTACATGCATCACTTGGCATTAGTCGAATGTATGTATTCCTGCTGGTCCGCATGGGAGGGAACCACTAATGCTAGCGATTCCAAGACAACTCTTTTTGATACAGCAGCTCTACTACATGATCGCTCAACTTATACAAGATCAGTTTCAGCGACGGAGTGCTGGCAGAGGGGTGCAGGTTCTGGGCCTCCCAAGAATTTCCAACCTAGGGGAATGACCCTGAGTGCAGAGCTTGGCCGCCCGGTTATAGCTGAGGAGTATGCAAGCGATGTGTGCCTCTAACTGTTCTGATTGGCTATCAAACCCTGGCAGTTCCAGGTATTCAAAGTGATTGAAATTGGCAGCACCCAACAGTCTCAGAGAGTTCAAGATTACCTAGATATGCAACTCTGCTCTGGCGGGCCGGATACCATTCCTTCGAGCAACCCCTATCAACAGAGTGGAGCATGGGTGATGCAGTTTTCAGCTGTGGCCTTTACAATACTGTTTCGATCTTGGGTCAAAAAAGCAATGTTAAGTCTGTCGTGGTCCAGAAACCCCAAGTATGTATTCGTACGTGTGGCTATCAGATCAAGCCGGTCCGGCGAGGGTAGTACGACTGCACTTGTGTAAGCGATATAACTTTAAAACCGCTGTTCATGGGTCAAACGCTATCATATCATATATATTGAGGCTGTTTAGGTCACGCATGGTGGTCCACAAAATCACTACAATTGTTCTGATAACGATTGATTGAACGATATGTATTTGGAACCGGCTGAAAAGCAGTAGGGTTACAGCACATCGAAACTCTTTGGCGAGCCATTGAGACGACATGCCTGATTCGGAGTGGCAATCGGGTATATTTTGTCAAACTACCGAGAAAAGGGTTTGACAGCCTCCCTTGCCTTGCCTAGGATGGTCCGATGATGCGACAACTGGAGCGAAGCGACTGAGGAAAAATGAGAGAGGCGTGAGCTCGGTGTCTTGATGGACAAAGGCCATTTAGGAAATCTAACAAAGCGTTAGATCAAGCCATATCATAGTATAGCGACTTCATGGTTAAACTTGAAGCTTCACGTCAAGGACAAAATTATGCGCCACTCTCCTACACATAGAAGTGGAACCAATCATACAGTACATATGAAGAGGATGCTTGGAGTCGGACAGTTCCCCTCCCAGCACAGCGAGCTCCTGCACCTGACATCATTGTAGCTCGCAGAGAAAATGGCCTTGTTGATCACATACGTATGTTTTTCTCGGAGCGATCATGTAAGAAACCGAGAGCCTCAACTGTCAATTGTCTTCCACAAAGGCTTGCCCTGCCTACGGATGGTGGATGTCCCGAGCCCAAGTTGGTTAGCGAGACACGAAACACGAAAGAGAGAAGAGAAAACATGGGGCGCGTGAAGGTTCCAGTAGGTCGGGAACATGATGAAAGGGAGGAGCATGAGCATGAGCATGTATGTGGCAGCCTTGGACGTGCGTGATCGAAGACACACTGGATCTCTTGTGCTACCGGTCGAAAGCACAAGTCGAACTGGCAGATCAAATATCATGTCAGACGAGCCACAAAATGATTGATGGCCAGAGGAGACAGATGCACAGTCGTAGGGCTGGCGGGTGAGGGGTGACGGATAGCCGCAGGGATCCTCCTATGGTGTCGTGTCTGACAAGCTACTAACTGGCTAAGGTCGGTCCCTCGGGGGGGAAAGAAACGAAACGAAACGAAGGAAACGATGAATCAAACAAAAGGTGGCTGGCAAAGATGACGGTTCCTTGGCTTCCGTCGCAGCAAACGCCACAACAGGGGTAGCTCTTGGGGTGACACAAACACCCGTTTCTTACCAAGATCTGCTGCCCCTGTTGAAATGATCTGCTACCGTCACAATGTCTCGGATCGGTAATGGGTCCCGGGGCCGAAATATCACGGACATGTCAAGTGCAGGGCTTGCATGGCTTGCATGCTCAGTCTCGTCACAATCCTGACGGTCCATACAACACAGCACAATACTGGCCCTTCTCCTTATCTGGTCGGACTTTGTGAGACAGCATTTTAGGGGTTCTTGGTGTCATCGATTCGACTATCTTCACTTTACAGTACAGTACAGTACAGTACAATACAATACATTACATTACATACATACACTCCACTGAACCAATCTGAGGCTCGGCTCCCCCTTGGACCAATGCAATGCAAGGAGGGTGGGATATGATACTCTACGAATTGTATGGATGCCGTGCGTCGTGGATCTAGTGCATCTTGGCAAGTCTCTGCGCCGCTCGTGTGCTTCATCTCGTTCGTGCAGGATCGTGACATGAGTCACTGGGCCTCTCCCGAAGATGCAGCACTGCAGGTTCTCCTTGGGTGCTTGGCAAGCCTGTCACATCTCGGATTGGAAACAGTACAGCCTGTCCCAAATATGTATGATAGTACGTAAGTCTTGTCTCGGTAAACTCGAGTGAGTAAACTGTTGGCCAAGGTGCATATTCGAAGCGTACTGTGGTGTAGTAGTGTACTTTATTGTATGTACTCTGTCAGCCAGCGAGTGCCTTTCCTATCAGCTCCTTGGCCCGGTCGCTATGGTTCATCTCGAGGGCCAGCTCCCGCCCCCTTTCACCCATCTTGCCCCATGTCTTCTGAAGGATGCCTATCATCTTTGCCTCGTCCAGATCCGACTTCTTCTCAAAGTCGTCAAACTGATCGTCGAGAAAGACGAGGCATGCTGTGTCCTCAAGAACCTGCGTCTCTTCATCCGCCTTGAGGTTCTCCTTGCGGATCAAGGCAGCCACTCGAGCGCGGTCCTCCTCGGGAATGGGGGGCTGAATCTCTGGAGAAGCGAGGAGCTCAGCAACTTGAGCGGCGGCTTGAGCCTTGAGCTTTGCTCTCCAAGTCAAGTAGCCGGGACGAGTCATTGGGTAGCTGCTTCGAGGGATCTCCCATCTGTGCATGTTTGTAAGCATTGGGACTTGGGTGTAGCTTCAGGCTCTCTAACCTTCGGAAGTGCTGTGCTCGACAGGCGAGCTGGAGAACGGGGCTGGCGTCAGGGCATCGGCGGGCGAGCCACTTGGTCATCTTTTGAGCGTAGTTGAGCTCAAATGGGATCGTGGTCCCATCAGGGGCTTCGACTGTCCTTGAATCTTGGGCATGAGCAGCGTCGATGAGCTCGAGGCCGCGGGCGTACTCGGCGGGGAGGGGAGGGAGATGGTCGGTCATTGTGAGGCCGCTGATGATAGTCTCGCACTGTCCAATTGCCTGCTCAGATGCTGTCCTGTACACTATGAGTTATTAGCGGACAGAAAAAAATAAGTTTCGAGAATGTATGTATATCTTTGAACTGTGCGTGATGTAGATGATAACCAAGTCTCGGATGGTGTTGTGAGATGAGTCAGCAGCTTTGGTAGGTGTCCTATTGGATCTACTTATCTTAGTAGTGTGCGTGGGTGCTGTGCTCCGTGGGACTATCTCCGAGGACCACGGTCACATCATGATATGGAAACAACAATAGACGATTTGACAATAGTTTTACTTTCCAAGCAGATTTAGGCAAGTTGTTCTAGGGCAATGCAGCTGTGTAAGAGTTCTAGTTGTTCAGTGGGACAACTGCAGTGGGTTATTGTTCCATGCGTCAGTGACAATGTTCGTCCCCAGATGCAAAAGCCAGCACAAACAAGGACATTCTGGCCATGCATTGTACACCCCACGTTCCCGAGTATCCAATAGAAACAAGTAAAGAGAGAATATAGGCCATTGCTCGGTCTAATATTGCCCTGTGCTCCCGTGCCTGGTGAAGGAAGCCCCCCTAAGCGTCAGACGGGCAATAAACTAGTCGAGCAGTGCAGCACTGACAGTGGCAAGCCAACTGTACATTGTTTCTGCACCTCGAGCCCAGCCTAGAAAGTATTTCATCTTGAATTTCGAAAGCGGCTGTGCTTGTTTTTCCTTTCTACCTCTACTCCTCATCACAGACCTTGAGTGTTTCCCTCTTCCTCAACATTCCCTTCAGAGCAATACTGCATCTACAAAGGACATATCTTGCAAAGGGAAGATAGTACCTTACTTTCTTCCCTCCCGTCGCTTTTCCTTCCCTTGCTATCACCACCCAGCCCGGTGCTGGTCCATTTGCTATCACCATTCTTTCTTGATTCTTCCTCGCGAGGCAACACCACGCTTGGTACTCATATCGACGCATACACAGGCTTGTCAAAGACTGTTGAACATCAGTATTGACTTCTCGTAATAGTATCGACATCACATAGGCGCAGTGATAGGCCCTTTGCTTCCGCGCCCTCGAAAACAGATGAACACACGCTTCCTACCTCTTCTCCCTAAGTGAACATACCACTCACTACTCATTCGAGGTATGCAGAGACTTGCTCAAGACTTATGATGATCACAAGTTAACTCGTAGTGACAGTATCGACATCGACACGCAATCGTCATAGTAGACCCGTCTCTTCGCAACACTCAACACTACTTCTTGATTCTGCTCCGCAGCACATATCAACTTCGCTTCTAGCCTCAAGGTATGTTCAAGGTCGGTAGAGACTGGCAAGCACATGGCACTCAATAACTTTCGGCGATAGTGCTGGCATCAACGCGCAGTCGTGGTTAACCCTTTGCTCAAGACACTTGGACCCTATCTCTTGATTTAGCTTCGGCACTCTACACCCCTCGCTGCTCATCCTAAGGTATGCATAGACTTAACAAGATGGGTTTGTTGAGAGCCAAATGCTAATTCGTGGCAGAGTGTCATCATCATCACCATTGGGGCATACTCTTGCATATATTCAGTCCTACCCCTGATATCAGGGTATCCGGCACATCATGCAGAGGTTTCCTATCCCGACGCCTACTTGGGCTGAATACAAACAGAATCAAGAATACTTTGATCGTTTATACCAAGGGCTCAGGGGTTCCTGGTATAACTACAACACTGCTGTCCCCGGCTTCGTTGAGTTGCCAGGACATTGTATGCCCCAACTCCCGGCTGTCAATCAAGCATCGTCGTCTCAGGCGGCCCCAAATCCCAATAGCACCACTATGCACTGCGACAAGCATCTTGGCAAGGACTGCAACAACGCCTGTTGTAAGCCCAAGCCCAAGCCCAAGCCCAGTGCACGAGGCCGCCGTGTAACAATTGCCACTGCCAGTGATGAAGAGAATGGCGTTGTCACAGACACCGAAGGCAACATCACGGACAGTTCCAAACCTGTCGTCAAGGGCAAGATGACTACTAATGCAAAGGGAAAGGAAAAGGCAGTCCAGACTGAGTCAGAGAACGAATCGTCTGTTGCTCAGGCTGATGATGATGCCTCGACTGACGCTGAGACGTCGGTCCTTTCATCCGTCGCCTGCCTCAAGGACCCCAAGTGGTCTCTTTCAGAGGACTGCCGCCTTCGCAGCATGAAGGAGGCCGGCGAGACCTGGGCTTTCATCTCAAGCTCTCTTTGCAAGACAAAGGACGATGTCCGAGCTCGCTGGAAGATACTCCAGAGCCAGTTGCGTCCCAAAGAAACTGTCGACACTGACACTGACAATGCCGCTGAGGAGGAGTCTGTCGATGACAGTACCGATGAGGACGGTGAAAACAATGAAGAGTCTGATGCGGATGACGAGGTCTCTGATAACGATGAAGATTCTGATGCGGACGACGAGGATTCCGAGGATTCCGATGATGACGAGGAATCTGATGAGGACGACAACGACTCTGACGATGATGATGAAGAGTCCGACGAGTCTGACGAAGACTCTGATGTTGACACCAACAAGATTTCTAAGTCCACTGTCAACAATAAGTGGCATACAGGTGTGCGTAACCTCAAGGTTGCCAGGGAAAATCAAGGGGCCAAGGCTCGCGCCCGGGCCAAGGCATCTGGGAGGGAGGGCTCATCTGCGGGTGAAGCCAACGAGAACGATGGGTATTCGTCGCTCTCCCGAGGCGACGCAAAGCAGATGAAGCATATGAAGGAACACGTCTACGGGGCCATGTACCCTCCTCATTTCCACCCACAGTCTAATGCCTACTTGGTCAAACGAGACTGCGCCCTCCTCGCTACCATTGACAGCAAGTATAAGCGATCTCGCTGGCTCGAAATGCAGGCCAATTTCTACAACGTCACAGGACAAATGGTCCCTCTTGTATCCTTCAAGGCCAGATGCGAGCGCGCCGAGGCCGAGAAGACGGAGCGCTCCAAGACCCGCGAACTCGAAAAACGCATGAATAAGGTTGAGGACTGGATTGCGAAGCAGGAACGTGAGCAGTCAGCCGACTCTGAGGACGCTGATGAGTCAGAGGACTCTGACGATTCTGAGGACGCTGAAGATTCCGACGACTCGGATGAGTGATTCACTCCACTCGGATTAGCCAACATCATGTCACGATAGGTGTGTTGCGTGAGACTTTCTGACGGAATTCATCACAGAGTGACTCCCGACGGTTGCGAGTCTCTACAAATAGAGACGAATATGCCCGGCCAAGACGATTAAGGTCTTGTTTCGTTATTGCTGTGTTTTTCTTGGTGTTCGGGGAGTAAAAGGAATAATTCGATAGATACCATCATGATGGCTCAAGTTACGTTTTGGTAACTTAGACGGGACAAATCTGAGACTCGGTCAATCATAGAACCACTGCGAATTAGAGAAGAACAGGAAAATAAACAAGCCGGGGGCAAATGTCCTAGGTATTTGTTTCTTGAGAAAAAGTAACATGCTTGCTACCATGGTGATAGATAAATCATCTATTAACTGCGTGCGCCCAGAAATGCAACCGGCACTTGGGCTTAACAACAAACTCCTTTCTCTATTTTCCTAACCTCGGTTCCATGCAGAACTAAAGCATAACCGTAAAAGCTAAAATTTTGTACAATATCTGATGATAAATAAATAGGGCAAGAACCCAATGCAAATGCACACAAAGATACAAATAGTTGTGGGTATCAAATAACAGGACAGAAGTGAAATAAGACCAAATGCGCGCTGAGGACAGTGTAGGCTGGATGGGCTGGGTGGGCTCTGGCGACAGGGGTAATCAACTGTAAATCAGCCGATTGGTAGGTATAATACCAGAAGAATTCAGCAACACCTGTCTCCAGGTCATGTGCGTTCCGATCCTTGTGACAGAGTCACCATGGGAAGGCTTTGCTGTTTCATCAGCAAGCTAGTGCTGCCATGGCCTAATGCAAAATTGCGCTGTTCCTCTCAATGTCTGAGATGCCCACAGGAATGTGGTTTGATGTGGTGTTGCGGAACGGGCCGTTCAGCGTGAATCAAATTCGGGGCCCCTTTAGCGTGAGGCGACTTAGACCCGAGCCGTGTTTCTGCTCATCTCAGTTGGTGTCGCTCAATTGCTTCGGAGCCGTTCGTCAAGCTACCCCAATTATCTCGAGTTGTTTTGAGTACTGTGGCCTGTGTTGGGTACTGTGAGAAACTGGCCGTACCCTCTTCAAATGGGGTTCTCCATTCCTGGAGGGGGAGTGGCTCTTGGTATGGGATTTTGGTTCAACACTGGAGGTTTACGTAGAGTACCACTGGTGCCGAGACCACGTTTCATCATCTTGCCCAGGACCGTAACCAGCTCGCAAGCATCACCAAACATGTCATCGTCCATTCCCTCCGTGGCATCGTATACTTCCGCGATGGTGTCCTTGGCAACTTTCCGACTTCCTTCAGCGTCGTGAACACATTCGTATAAGAAGGCAGCATATTCAGTCTTGACTGAGAGGCGAAGAGAGTGAGAGCCCCAGAGCATCGAGTCGGCAAGCTGGATAGCCTCCTGAAAATGCTGTTTTGCCTCAGGAAGGTAGTCTTTGGCTGGGATGAGAAAGTTGGGCGATAACGTAAAGTTTTGATCTTCAAACCCTGGGGGAGGCAGCACTGGCCCTCCTTCAAGGGGGTGAGTTGGTTGAACAGAGGAGGGCCTAGATTCAACTTCCATGTCGGCAGCGCGTCCCTTTCCCTTATCCAGGCGCGGCGTCAATACAGCAGTGACATCTGGCGTTTGTCTTCCCAAGTTTGAGACCGAGGGTGTGTTGCCAAAGAGAGCAAAAATATGTGAGAAAGAGGCACGAAGTTTGTAGGCGAGGACCTTGAGTTCGACATAGTTGCCAACCATTGGTATGACATATTGTTCAAGCATTACCTTGCCCTCTCGGGAGAGCCATATGATACGCAAGACGCGCCGTATCGCGTTAGGTGATGGCTCATAGTCAGGCCGGCGCTGTTTCTTTGCGGCAACAAGCTGTTCGGCAAGGTTGAGAGACAAGCCTAGAATCTTAAAGAGCATGCTGGCCAAGAGAGGATTGTCATTCTCGACAGCTTTGGCAAGCTTGCCGAGAAACTTCTGGTCGACTTCAGAGGACGCCATGCAGCTCAGCCCGTAGGTTCAAGGTGAAACTTGGGTATAGGTGGGCTAGGTGTAGAAGGGTCCACGACTGAGACTAGGGACTTTGCTTTAGTTTAGATATATCGACTAGGGCGACAGAGGGGAGGGGCGGCGAGGGTGGAGGGAATAGCCTCGCATATGAATCAAAGCACGGGTGTCAAGCGTCATAGACGACAGCAGCACATGCGACGAAAGAGAAGCAGGGAAATATGAGAATATGGAGGCAACGAGAAGGAGGTTGGCTGAACTAACCGTTGACGAGCTCCACAGCTGCAGCAAAACGCACGGCGGGAACGACGCGAAGTGCGCGCAGGTCGTTGCAGCAGCTCGCACGATGCAGCCCGGATGAGAGGCAGCCAGAAGAAACTGGGACTCGCAAGGCAGAGCCTATTACTTGGTCTGTAGAGGGGCGACTCTACGGGGACGGCGAGCCAAGTTGAAGGCGCGCAAGACAGCTGGCAAGCTGTGATTGGGTCCGATGCGTATTGGTGATTTTGCCTCGAATTGCAGTGATTAGATGAGATTTGGAAGATGCAGAACGACAGCGTCAGGAGAAGAACGAGTGACAGATGACGCTTAAAAGGCGCAGTATCGACCAAGGAAGCTTCCTGAAACCAATTGGCCTAATCCGAGTTGAGAGTCGAACTGTACGTGACGGCGCATACGCATCGACTGTCAAGAATCCCGGTGTTGATCAACTGCGGATGCCTCAACGTGCAATGACGACGAATGAGAAGCAGGTGAGTAAAACGCGAGATTGCGATTGAGGACCAAGGCCAAAGGGACTACAATGAAAAGCTCGATAACAAACGAACGAGAGACTAGCAGCAGGAAACAAACGCAGAATTAGCGGCACCGAATAGCATGGCGGAAGAACGAACGACAGGATGGCAGGCTCGTTTGAAGGAAGTTATACGGCCAACCACTCGCGCGCGGTGTTGAAGACGGACGGGAGCGAGAGTGACCAGCAAGCAAGGACAAGCCGAGGCGCCTCCAGGTTCAGCGAATGACTAGGGCAGGCGGTGAGCAGAGCGGGTAGCAGACAGTCCTAGTCCTGGCAAGACGGTCAGTGGGTTGCTGACGGGGGGTCGCTGTTCAAAGCCAGGCAGGTCTGAGAGATGGACGGACAGGCTAGACCAGGGGACCCTGAACTCCAAAAGGCACCGCTATCAACAGTGCACCACTGAGCGTGGAGAGTATCGACAAGGGTGGGAGGGTTCCAGAGCTTGTCTAGTCTGATCGGACGCTTGTTTGAAGATAATGATGAAAGATGGCTGACAGGTGCAAGGACGATTTTTGATAGTCTCGAGGTTCCGTTCGAGTCTGATTTCAAGATCCGGTAAGTTCTATTGCTTAGTAGTGATATAAATGTAGTTGTCTCGAATTCGATAGGTGGTTGAGTCTGTTGACAGGGTAAACAAAACTTGCTCTCGCCAAGTCGATCAAACAAGTGATATAATAGGTACTATTTTTGTCGTTCCAGATTGACGTCGTTTGAATGGATCTTTGCCTTTCTGTACAAAGTTGCCAGATGCACCCCGGTCGACTTTGAAGTGACACAATTTGAGGAATTGAAGATTCGAATTGTAAAGTGAGACTAGAGAGAAGATTCAGAAGTGACACACGCGCCACAGACAACACAGCACAAGATAGCGCAGCGCAGCGCAGCACAGCACACAAGAGGGTAAAAGTCGACGCGGCACGACGCGGTACGTTTCGCAAAGACCGAGTGAACCTTACTTTGGTAGTCTTGGTAATAGAAGTGGAAAAAAAAACACGGACCTAACGGGCAGGTGAGTTAGGTAAGTAAACGTTAAGAATATTCGAAATAGGTCAAAGTGCGAAGAGGCGGCGGGACCGATGTATAAGGAGGCTGGGGATATCGGCAATGTCAAGTCATGTCAAGTCATGTAAGGAAGAAGAAAAGAAAAGAAAAGTCTGAGAGGAAAAAGTAAAATACAGAAACATCAGCGTCAGGTGGAAATGAGGTTCATGTCCCTCATGCATGCTCTTTCCTACCTACCTAAACACGGCATGAACACTGACAATTTTGGGCACAAAAAGGAAAGAGTCCTTGGGTAGGTAGATAGATATCCTCCCTTCCTTCTTTCACTTCTTGTGGCTTGTTCTCGACATTGGCCCATATTTTGAGTTTTATTTCCTAACTGGGCGTTTCCGTTGCGACCGGGGGTCTACGTACTAATCTACTAATCTGTCTCTCTCCTCTCATTGCAAAAGTTAAAACCTAATAAGGCACTTGGCTACGAAGGCAGCTAAGTAAAGTAAAGTGAGGGTGGGTTACCTTCGAATGAGAAGCTTTCCAAAGTTAATCTTAACTTTTTGAGCACATCCACCTGCGCAAATGTTGCTCTGCTCCCCGTTGGACTGTGCAGTCACAGTTCAGATCTCAACGGTCTACCCGACTGGGAACATGCTTGACCAAAGACACAATTACAAGAACAACACTGAGTACAGTAACTAGAGAGTGTTCAAAATACATACACTGACCCACGGACGGGGATTATCCCGAGACCTGACCCACCGCCTTAAACTAGAATGCACTGCGATGCGATATTCCAACATCAGCGTCTGTATGTGGCTCAAGCCTGATGACCATAAAATTCATGCATGACGATGGAGAGCCGTTGGCTGTTAACTTTACGCAGTATGAGGCAATATGACCCATAGTTGTCTGTCTGTAAGACTCGCTTGGCCTTGCTTGACATTGTCTCTATCATTCTTTGTCAGGCTTCAATGCAGCACAAGTGTAGTAGATACTGCCCAAGTAACAACACAACTCCTAACTCACAAGTATAACATATACCTAATCACCGCTGCTTCTACCCTCTACCTTCTCTCATGGACTTCAACTTGGCACTTGTCTTGAATCATACTCATCCAATTGTTCTCATTTCTGGTTGTATGCTGACTTGACCTCTAAATGTGATCCACGTCCCTTCAACCA